GCTACAATGATATAAGGCAGGGAATGAGTCAGCAAGATTTTTGGACTGATACGCCTTTAAGAGGCTGTATATAAGAGAGGCCCTGTGAGGGCGTCTCTCTGGGTGTGCTTCCCTGCTATAGTTGATGATTGATTACCTGACTTTGCCTAGTATACGTATGTATATATTCCTGTGTTGGGAGGCCAACACAGAACATAGGATTGTTGGTACAGAAGGGGCCTCAGAAGTCTTCTAGTCTAACGTCCTGCTCAAGACAGGAAGCCTTATACAATCTCAGTCAAATGGTTGGCAAAGAGAAACCAGAAGTTAAATCAATATTTTTATTTCTCTGCAAGTGAACATATATTATCCTCTTTGACTATCTGTCAGGAGACTTTATGGAAACAACCCTTTTTGTTGCTTTTGAGGGGAAAGCAGTGATGCTGCACAGACATAAGAGGCAGGGCTAGATTGGGCTGCCTGGAGTGCTGTGAGTTTGGACATCAAAGGAAAAGTGTCTCAAACAGAACGACTTGGGACGGCATCAAAGTTCAACTCTGCAGAGCAGCCAGGCCCTCAGAGACCACCAAAGGATAACGGGAGCCGGTGTCTCTAACAAGAGGAGAAACCCGGATGATGAGAAACGCAGCTGGGCTTCCATAAAAGTGTTAACCCATAGAGAGAGAGGAGGCCTCTCTTCCAAATTTTGATTTAATGCATCCCAGGCCCTGCCTGCCTACTATAAATAGCGCTTTCCAAACAGATTAATCCAAAGCTAATTCATCTGCCTGGCCACGTCGCAGGCGAGCCACGTTTCCAATTCACTCAGGGGTTAGAGAGATGCGAGGCCTTTCACCAGCTGTCTGATCAAAGCTGACACAGTCTGGATTCGGGCTGGTTGGCATCGGCCCAAAACCTCCGCTGAGAAATGAAGAGCAAAGGCAGAATTTTTCCCCCCACTTGGATATCCTTTTCTCCTCCTCCCTGACATTTGTCTCTTTTATAGGGCATTTGCGGTGGGACCAACAGGCTGAGTCACTGTTTGGAGGAATTTGTTCCGAATTGCTGTCAGCCAGAGAAATAAATACCACAGGTAGCATTCAGAGCCACCTCCTCTAGTCCTATGTCCTCCGGAGGGACTGGCTGACATTTAGTTTATTGTCATTGCACCTCATACAACAAAATTAAATCCCATCTTCAGTGTACATCATATATAAGAAGACTATAAAAATAAAACAAAAACACACATCCTTCACCTTCTCTATACAACTGAATTGAAAACCCCTGGCATTGCATTAACATTGCTCTGACTATAGAGTAGAATTCAATATAGTTGCTGCTCTGGGGTAGGAGCTGTTTTTTCAGCCTATTTGTCCTTTCAGCCTCTTTATGGCCCTCCCAGGTGGGGAGAATGGGAGATGTAGTCCTAACGGCCCAGGTCCTGTCCCAAGTCCCTGGGAGCAGCAATCAAGAGAAGCGCTGCTGAGTTTAAAAGTAATGCACGGTTGAAGCAATTTCCTGGCACTGTGCTGAAGGCAACCCGAAAGGCAAATGGTTGCATTCCTGAACAAAGTTTACAGCTGGAATGTTATAAAAGGGTTGCAATCTGTATGCCCTGCAGATATTTTATAATACAACTGCATCCCTGTCTGGGGCCAGGGCTAATGGGAATTGATATCCACCTTTTCCAGCCCTGTTTAGGCAGAGCTACCATTGCAAGGGACAAATGTCAGCAGCCAGAAAACCCCGTGGCCAGAAACCTGGGCGCCAACCGGCAGAATTAACAAGCTGATGAAATCCCAAGGTTGGTTGTATTGTTTCAAATGCTTGGGATTCAATCGAGTGGAATGTGCTCCCTGAGCTGTGGTGGTGCAGTGGTTAAGAGTGCAGTACTGCAGGTTACTTCTGCCGACTGCTGGCTGNGAGTTGCCCCTGCATGGATCTATGAGAGTCTGACAACCAATCAGAAGACAAGATCAAGATCAAAGACCAGAGAGGGCATAAAACCAGGAACTTTCAGCATCTTGGTCTCTTTTTCTTCTTCACCCAACATCTGGAAGCATGTGATCCCCCTTTTCTGTTCAGGAACTCAAGCCATATGATCCTGTCCACCATTAAACCATCTTTCCAAGCAGCCTCCATGTTTCCAGAGTCTTTCCCCACACTTGGAACTGAAACCAGAAGGACATTTCTTCCAACATTTGATTTACACTAATAACTGTCATAGGTTTTTTTTTAATGTGTGGCAGCTTATTAAAATGAAAGTGGGCATTTGTGCATTACTGGAATATATCCCCACCCTCTTAAAAAAAGCCCATTGAAAATCTTAACATGAAGATGGATACAGTCTAAGACTTTTAACTTTTTCTTTTCTGGGTAAAAGTCTCCGCTGACTAAGTTATCATCCTAGAGAAAAACTTAAGTTCCAATAAGGCAAAGTCCAGGAAGAACAAAGCTAGGAAGGCTAAATGAAGCAAGGCAGAGTTTGTGTTGCAAAGGCTACAGTCCGAGGAGAGAAATAAGCACCATGGATAGCTCTGATGCCCAAGCTGTGTAGCTGCTACCAGTAGAAAGTCCAAATGTTGTAGTCGCTCTCTTAAACCCAAAGGATCACCTTGTGGGGCAGAGAAGGCGGAGGTTGATTGGGATGCAGACTAACCTCCCTTTTATTGCAAGGAGGTCTTTCTCAACTGAGGGGGGCAGCCTGTCAGCCCTGAAGTCATTTTTGGGAGCATCTTCAGGGCTTTCACAGCAAGGCTGGGTGGAGCTGTGGCAACATAAGGGGGGTAGTAGAGATGGCTGGGGGGGGGATGTGTAGCCAAAATAACATTCTTTCCCATGGGAGCCAAGGATGCTCTATTGGTTGTTGGAAGGGCGTGGACCAAAGTCAGCCAGGAGTTGGGACTGCGACCTGAAGGGCAAGAATTTTGGGTTTTGATTTGGGTGGGGTCCTTCAGAGTCAAGTTTTCACCTGCTGTGCCAATATGACATCCCCGACTAAAATTATGCTTTGAGGAAACTCTAGGCCTCAGAGTTTTGATTGCTTTGGGGTTGTTACTTAGAAACCTGAAAAGTTGCTTCAGCAACAAATAAAAACTGATCTCTAAGATGCAGACCCTCTTAAGGTAAAGGCCTCCAGTTTGTTTGTCATTGTGTGTGCCACTGCTCCCATCATTACCCTGCCAATCACAGCTCCTTTTGGCAAATGGAACAGAGCCTAAACTTTATTTACAGCTTCTCTTCGCACCTGTGTGCCATAATTAGAATTTCCAAAAGGGGGGGGGGGGTTAGTAGGCAAAAGCTAACCTCATCTTTGTTTTGCTATGACTTGCATTCTGCTGGTGCTCAATGCCAAAGCAATGGTCATTTTTACAAATAAAAATAAAAATTCGGCCTAAAGATCCGAATTGAAAACAAGTTACAGCAGCTCGTTTAGTGCCCGTTTGACTTATGGCCATTTTTCAAACTTATGACCGTTACAGCATCCCCCATTGGAGATTAACTTTCAGGTGTTTAACAGCTGGTTCATATTTTATGATGGTTGCAATGTCCAAGGATCACGTGATCGCCTTTGGCGACCTTCTGACAAGCAAAGTCAATGGGGAAGCCAGATTCACTTAACAACCATGTTACGAATTTAACGGCTTCAGGGATTCACTTAACAAACGTGGCAAGACAAGTTGGAAATGGGGCAAAACTCACTTAACACATTTCTCACTTAGCAACATAAACTCTGGGCTCAATTGTGGTCATACGTCAAGTACTACATTTAGTACATCCATCACAATAAAAATCAGGTAGTTACTTCAACTAATCCATCCCTCAAAAACCTATGCTTGGAGGGAGCATTTTTTAATCCTCAGCTACCTATATTTCCCAAAGTTAAGTAGATATTGTGGGGTAAACGCTGCAAGATTTTTGCTTCTGCCTCACAAAGAACAGAATAGACCAAAATTCTTCTCATTCCAAAGGGATTCTTTGTCCACATTAGGTTATGCCTGTCCATAATTCCTGAAGGAATCAAGAAGAAAATGGTGTTTTCTAACTAGTGAGCTTGTTTTTGAAGAAAGCTACTGGGATCTGGGAATCTGTGGGCTATGTAGGGATCTGCCAGTGAGCCTCAGTGTTATTAAAAGCTTTAGAGGGACTGATTTGTGCATTTTGCATCCTTTTGAAATCCAAAAGAACTGACCAGTCCTATTTCTTCACTTGCCAATTTATTTTATTTATTTATTTATTTATTAGACATATTTATATGCCGCCCAATCCCGAAGGACTCCGGGCGGCTTACAAAAATAAAGAGAAAAAAACACACAACGAAACACATAACGAAAGAAACAGTTTAAAAACAGCAACACCTCATACATTCATTCTAATCGGGGCTGGACCTCAACAGTGAGGTCAACAGACCCAGGCCTGCCGGATTGCCAACCTTAGCTGGAAAAAGAATCCATCCATTGTATTTCTTTAACCCTTTTCACTGGGTTTTTTTCTTTTTTTGCCTGGTCCGGGGATTCAAATCTTTGCAACATTTGACTGCCATCTAGCGGAGATCGGCTATTCTCAGGATCTGCTAACAGGGAAATTGGCAATGAGAAGTCTCAAAAGAGCAGCATAAAAGTTGGGGTGGTGAATCAGGACTGGAGAAACCTAGATTTGAATCTGATTTGGGCCATGGAATCTTATAGGTGGCTGTTTACTTCTTGCGCTAAGAGTCTGCAGAGAGAGAAATTCTCCTTTCATGAAGGGCTCATGAGAACTTCTTTGTCAGCGAGCTTGCATAAAATTTTTTGGGCGCCACACCGGCAGTAATGCTGGCATCACCCCACCCCTGGGCCAAAAATAGACATGGTCCAGAGCTTCAGGAGTTTGCCAACTTGTTTGTGTAAAGGAGTACTGGGGCAGAAGCTGTCCATTTGTGATGTCAGATCCTTAAGAATGTTTTGTTATCTGTCATTCTGAAAAAAAAAAAAAAAACCAGATCTAAATCCTAGCATTTGGGCTCTTTCAACGGCAGAGCCATGTCAAATGTCGAAGTCTTACAAACCCCGGCTGTGATTATTGACAATGGATCCGGGTCTTGCAAAGCGGGGCTTTCTGGGGAGGCGGAACCGAAAGCCATTGTCCCGTCCGTGGTTGGTCGTTTCCAAGAGAAACCGGAGAAAATTTATATTGGGGTAGGAGCCATGGCCAAGAAAGGGGCCTTGCTGAGTTATCCTGTGGAACGTGGGGTTATTTCCTGCTGGGATGATATGGAGAAGCTGCTGAGATATATCTACAGGTACAAACTTAAAGTGAAGCCCAGCACAAGGCCCGCGTTTCTTTCAGAGCCCCCCAAGAATCCGCTGAAGAACCGGGAAAAAATCACAGAGCTCATGTTTGAAAGCTTTCGAGTCCCAGCGTTGTACCTTGCGATCCAAGCGACTCTAGCATTGTATGCCTCGGCTCGTACCACTGGTTTGGTGCTGGACAGTGGAGACGGAGTGACCCATGCCGTTCCAATTTACGACGGATACTGCTTACCTCATGGGGTATCCAAACTCCCTCTGGCAGGAAGGGACGTGACGGACTACTTTGCCAATCTCCTGATGGAGAAGAACCCTGGTTTAGTGAGCCGGGCCAAGAAAACCATACTGAGGCGCATCAAAGAGAATTTTTGCTACGTGGCTTTGGATCCCAAACAAGAAGCTCTGAAGAAAGTGGAACAGAAGGTGAAGCTGCCCGATGGGAATACCATCAAGATCCATCTGGATCTCTGCCAAGCGCCAGAAATCCTTTTCACACCCAAGACCATCGGTGTCGAGGCACCGGGCATCCATACCATGATCACCAGGAGTATCCACAAGTGTGACAAGGACATTTGGGCTCCCTTATATGGCAACGTGGTCCTCTCAGGAGGTTCCTCTCTTTTCTGCGGTTTGGATGAAAGAATCTTTAAAGAGATTGAGCCTCACGTCCCAAACGGGGTTCCCATACGGATCATAACACCTCCGGAAAGGTCCTGCGCAGCTTGGGTGGGCGCATCAGTTATTAGTAACTTGGTATCTTTTCAACCAATGTGGTTTACAAAGAAGGACTACAAAGAATTCGGGGTGGCTGCGATACACCGGAAATGTTTTTAGGCAGCCGGGATGTCAAATTCCGCTAACGAAAAAGTAGGAAAAAGTATTTAATGGAACCAAAAGCAATTTTTTTAAATGCTGACTTGGGAGACTGTTACAATGATTAAAAGTGCACGAAGGACAGTCAGTTGAGCAATGTGTCTCAATTAAATGTATTCTTAACCTTGATATGTTTAAAACCTTTTTTTTTCTTTTGCAGTTTTCCAAGTGGAGTATTTTAGAGTTGAAGGGCTGGTAAAGTTATATGACAGGCACTGCGGTTAAATCTCTCTGTTTTTTGTGTTTTTTTTTAAGGATGCGCTTGGGGCTAAATTTTAACAAATCTTGGAATGTTGTTGCTGGGAAAGTTTAGAAAAGAAGCCCCTTTTTCTAGGTGCACACCAATGCACCAAACCTACATTGTCCAGGTTTGCCCACAAACAAGCCAGGCACATTTCAACCTACTGGTTGTGTTGTCCTGATGGAATAAACCATTTGCATTTAAAAACATAGCTTGTCCAAGCCAGTCCCCTTAACTAACCATGAAGGTCGACGCCACACACTAAGCTCATAGGGGCTTGCTTAATCAGTTGGATAGAGGCGGTGTGAAGAAACAAGATAGCCAATATAAATTCTTAACAATGGCATTCACACAACATGCTAGTTTGGGTCAAGATTGAATTTGAATCTTCTTTTTTTATGGTTTAACATGATCTTTTAAAGACCCCATAATCCCTTACAGGGTGGAGTCTGGGCAACTGAATGGAGCTATTACTGGCCGGATGCCTTTCCTGTCACCAGAGCGGAGTTTTCCCCCCCCATCAGATACATTCTCATTGTGCCCAGAGAGAGAAATATCTGCCTCTACCTAGGATCGAACTCCCAGCCTCCTGATTGTGAGGCTAGAGTTCCACCTCTAGGCCACCACACCACACCCATGGTTTAACACCAATATAAATCTGGGTTAGTTGACAGGCCACTTAATTGTCCAAATGTAGAAAGTGAGTTGATTTTCATGACTGGAATAAGCATCTTGTGTGAACGTATTGAAGAGAACTCAGGACTTCAGAGTTGACCTGTGAGACCCATAACTCTGGGAATACCTAGCCAGCATGGGAGGTGTAGTCCCCGCTCCTCTGGGAAGGCCCTGTTCGAATAGAAAGCCTGTCAGGAACCTTCTCCCCGTTTTTCAGGAGTCCATTTCTTGCGTTCCCCTGAGGTAACAGCAAAGGCTCATGGGAAATGTATTTCATTCGGGCGGGGAAAAGCCCGCTTCGGGCCGAACCCGCGACGCTCGCCTACAAATCCCAGCATGCCTTGAGCCGAAACGACGGCAGTTAAACGGATAATCCAGGGCGCGGTGTGCTCCGCGGCCGTTAGGGCGGCGCTGTTTCCCCCGCCTTTTCCCTTTGTGGAGCGCCGGAAACGGCTTCTTAGAGAGGCAAGTATTGGGTGTTGTCTTCCCTAATCCCGTTTCTCCTCACAACAGACCAGGCCTAAAGGGTTAAAAAAGGATTTTAAAAAACACACACACACACATACCCCCTTACCTCACGGAACTATAATGAACGAGAGGGGAGGTTGGGCGGCCGCTCTGCCCCCTTCCCCCTCTATGGTTTGGCCAGCCGGACGGCGGAAGTGAAGGGACGGCGGATATGCCCGACACGTCGCCGGGCCCCGCCTTTTCCGGTCTGCGCGGCCGCCATTTTCTTCGTGTTGGGAAGAGAGAGAGGGAAGAAGTCGTCGTCGTCGTCGCCGCCTGGAGGAGCAGCTCCGTCTTCCCTGCCGCCGTCGGGAACGTCGCCGCGGGCCCTCACCTCCCCCCAGCCCCTACTCTCTCTCTGCCTCTTGCCGCGGGGGGGAGGAGGAGCGCCCCGCCAACCAGCCATGCCCTCCTCGCCGCTCCGGGTGGCTGTGGTTTGCTCCAGTAACCAAAACCGCAGCATGGAGGCCCACAATATCCTCAGGTAACGCCACGCCTGCCCGCCTTCCGACGAGGACCACGCGGCCCTCTTCCCCCTGGAGAGAAAAAAATGGGATGCGGGGTTGAAGCGGGCAGTGAAGAGACCCTGATCGCCCTCCCCGGCTTCTCCATATAAAACACGACGCCATTGAAACCTTGGGTTGAGGGGATTCCTTCTCCCTAAGGCCGGCAGGAGGAGGAATTGATTGGAATTATTATTATTATTATTATTATTATTATTATTATTATTATTATTATTATTATTATTGAGTGGCCAGCAATGGGGGTGTTGAATCATAACCCCCCAATTATTTGCAGCATCCTCCCCAAGGCCTGGTACCCTAACAAAACGTGTTTTTGGTTATTTATTAGAAT